GGTGTATATTTGGCAAATTCATTGCGGTACTGAGCCCAGTTGGTGTAGTAACAAATGCGTTTGTAGCCTTCAGTAATTTCTGTAGACAATGAATACAATTCATAAAATCAGTAAACATGGATCCCAGTAATTTATTCAGAGTAAACAATTAAATTGGAGAAAGACATTGACTAACAATATAAAATTACAGATAAATATTATTTGATTATTCTTTACGATAGTACTCTCTAAATGCAAAAGGAGTGAAAATAGAGCAGTGCCGGATTAAGCATCGTCTAGTCTCAAGGCACATTTTGGAAATGGCCCAAAAATGTGAATTGAATGGACCCCATGGTAATAATACTCTGCCACAACTCTAACAGTAGAATGTCTCCGAGTTTTCTGGCCTAATAATACCGGAAAATAGAGTGTAAATAATATTGCAGTCCAACTTTTGATGGCCCATCATTTTCGCCTGGCCCACAAGGCTTGTGCCTTATTTGCCTAATGGTTAATCCGGCACTGAAATAGAGTGAAAGAGTGCATACAGGGACGAAGAAAAGCACCTTGGGGAAAATCATCTTGGGGAAATTCCCCTTTAAAACACTACTCGCCTACATATATGCCAATAAAAGAAAACGTCCTAGGACGTTTTTTTTTTTTTTTTTTTTTTTTTTTTTTGTCTTCAACCGATAATTTTAAGACAAATGAAATATTACTGGTTATTTGGCTAAAAATCCCGTGATAGAATACTATAGGCAGGGAGATGTAAAAAAACAATTATTGTTTACATCTCTCTACTATAGGTATAGCTTAAATAAAACAAAAGCGTCCACTAACAAAATAATTTTCGTTATAAGACAGAACCATGTACCATGCACCAAAGTGTTCTAGTCTATCATAGTCTTACCTGAAAAGCTCACGCACAAAATTGCAACTAAGATTAATGCCCTCATTTTTGTAGACTGCAAAAGAAAAATAGAGCTGGCAATATATTCATACTGTTAGAACCTCCCAAATTTTAGTGATCACCTCAGCCCCACCATTGCTATGGCGCAGCATTATGGCTCTAACGTCTCTAGGTGGCCGGAAAACATTCAGACCAATTGTTCTCCCGATATTCTTTTTAATTTTCAAAAATGTAGGGGAAGATAATTCTGTTGTCTGAAAAAAATGCACTTAAGACGTATTCAATTATAATAAGAATTTAAAAATAAAGCAAAAAGAGAAGTATTGGCCCAGATTTTTCGTGGAATGAGGTGGTAGTATATTATATCTATGATATTTTTTTCTTTTTTTGACGGAGGAGATTATTTTACTTGAGATACAATTAGGTTTGCTATGGTTAAAGACAAGATCAGATATGGATTTAACTTAAATCACATAACATGCCCCCGCTATTTGTGTTCTAGACGCCCGAAAATAACCTCTGATTCTTTTTGAGCCGATCCATTTTTTTTTTCTCTTTCTTTCTTTCTTTATTTTTTTATTCTATTTTTTCCCTCCCAAAAAAAAGGGGGGGGGG